CTAAGTTATTGATATATGAAACAAATTCTTTATGCGGCTTCACTAAACATGTCGTTAATGCAGTTGTGGCAGTGTCATCTTCAGTAGCGGATTTATAGATTTGCCGCCTGAAGGCTAATAAACTTTGCCGCCTCTAAATTTTGATACTTTAGTCCACAATCATGTCAGATATCGCACTACTATAGCATGCAGCTGCCATACAAACTGACCGATCAAAACCAAGTTCTTGTATGGAATTTTTTGTATATTTGAAGCAAGTTTCGGGGCAGCCGAAGTTAACATTTTTTCTTGTTATACCTTGAACAGGGTATATTAAGTGTTCCACGAAGTTTGTAACTCCCAGAAGGAAACGTCGGAGACCCTATAAAATATATACATAAATGATCAGTGATGAGCTTAGTTGATTTAGCCATGTCCGTCTGACTGTCCGTCCGTCGGTATATACGCGAGCTAGGGTCTGAGTTTTTGAGATATCGATCCTAAATTTAGCATATATCTATCAGATCGAATCATTATAGCAAATTGCTGTCATACAAACTGAACGATCGGAATCAAGAACTTCTAAGGAACCTTTCGTACTTGTGAAGGATATTATAGCTTCGATGGAACCGTTGGCTTTTCTTTTACTTCTCTGAACATAAAAAAAAAATTGTATGAGCGAAATCTGCCGCCCTTCAAAGTTTGCCGCCCTAGGCTTCAGCAGTGATATTGAGTAGCGGTCTGGAGTCGCTTGGGTATTGTAAACGCAGTATGGTCTCCGTATGTACCGCTCTGGGCACAGTTGGCGGACATGTACGCATGGTGATCGCAGTTAGTGCCTAACTGAATGTTTGGTTGATGTGTGCTTTGATGTACAAGTATTGCCAAACATTTCATGAACGTCTTCGAAAATTTTGGCGAATTTATACGATGATCTAACTGCTGAAATCCAGAACTCGCTGGAGAACAATGGAGTTGCGATATGCGCTTTCCTAGACATTGAAGGTGCTTTTGATAATGCGTCCCACGCAAGCGTGATCAGAGCACTGGAGAAAAGGAACGTGGAAGCTCCTTTATGCGGATGGATTAAGGCCGTACTGCATACTAGGATTGCAGAAACTACGGTGGGGGAGAGCAAGATACGTCTTGGTACTACGAGAGGCTGCCCTCAGGGTGGGGTATTGTCGCCCCTTCTATGGAGCCTCGTAGTAGATGAACTCCTTGAGTTGCTGAGGAACAATGGAATTCGGTGCCAGGGGTACGCCGACGACATTGTTATAATGGCAAGAGGGAAATTTGAGAACACTCTCTGCGACATAGTCCAAAGGGGCCTAAGCCTAGCAAAGGGATGGTGCGATACGGTAGGATTGAGCATTAACCCGCAAAAAACAACCGTCATCCCTTTCACAAAAAGAAGGTCTCTTCCGGGCTTTAGAATACTATCGCTTGGGGGCAGAGAGTTAGAAGTTTCCAGGGAAGCAAAATACTTAGGCATCACACTGGACTCCAACTTGCGGTGGAATAGGCATGTGGAGTTAACGATATCTAAGGCCACAAAGGCACTCATGGTGTGCAGACGCCTGGCCGGCAGATCCTGGGGCTGCAAGCCTACTATCATCAGGTGGCTGTACACCATGATTGTGAGGCCTATTGTTACTTATGGAGCGGTGGTCTGGGCATCGAAAGCAGCACAAACTACGATAGGTCTTCAACTATCGAAGCTGCAAAGACTTGCCTGCGTCCGCGTCACTGGGGCAATGCGCACGTGCCCCACCGCAGCACTCGAAGTCATGCTAGAGCTCCCACCGCTCCATTTAGTTATCAACCAGACTGCGAAGCATACCATGCTGCTTATGACAGCAGAGGGGTACGGGAAAGGGAAGTTAATCTCGTCTTAACAAATGAGGGCCCTAGAGGACAACACGCCACTAGCCCTTCTTCCAAGAGACGGGGTAACGAAGAGAGTAAACTTTACGAAAAAGTTTAAGGTTACTCTCGGCAGTAAGGCTGAATGGAGCGATTCCACACTTGACCAACTGCTGAGAGGCAGCACTATTCAGTGGTACACTGATACCTCAAAAACACCAGAAGGAATTGGAGCTGGCATTGCGGGACCGCATACCAAGCTTTCCATTTCCATGAGTTGTTTTCCAAGCATCTTTCAGGCAGAAGTGTTTGCCATTAGTCAGTGTGCAGTAATAAATCTCCAACGCAGCGATATCGGCCTACGAGATTCGATCGCTATTAGTGGAGGAGTGTATAGAAAGGCTAACCCGCCTATCAGCTTGCAACCGTGTACACCTGATCTGGGTGCTGGGGCATAAAGGGGTAGCAGGTAACGAGCTGGCAGATGAACTCGCCCGCTCTGCTGCTGCTACCAGAATGATAGGGCCAGAACCATGCATTGCGGTGGGGCCCCATACAATAAAGGAGCTGCTCCGTACGGAGGAGAGAGCGAACAAAGACAGTCACTGGCAACAGGCTGCAGGGATGCGCCATGCTAAACTGCTACTGGGAGGGTTCAACCTAGCCAGGTTCAGAATAATGAAAAACCTCCCCAGAGACAAACTCCGACTCCTAGCCGCACTCTACACTGGGCACTGTAGGCTCAAGAAACATATGTCAAACATGGGCATGGCTTCTTGTGGCAACTGCCTACTCTGCGACATGGGGCCGGAAACACCAGAACACCTGATTCTAGATTGCCCCGCAATTTGTAAACGCAGGCTCAAGGCCCTAGGCTCCACTTATGTGAACAGGGATCACATTGCCTCAATAGCACCCAGCAAGTTGTTGGAGTTTTTCAAGGTGCTGGGACTTTGGGAAAGCATGTGATAGAGGAGAGGGCACAATAGACCCTGGGTCGCAGTGCAAACCTAATATTAATTCTATTCTATTCTATTATACGATGATGATTTTGATACCATGCAAAATATTCAACTATTGGTCAACGGTTTCTATCTTGCTGCCGTTTGCCGCATGGACTAGTAACAGCGTGGGTGTATTTTAGTAAATTTGTGATAAATAATTGCGGATATCATACCTGAATTGTAGTTGTATGTAAAAAGTCGGTGGGGCCGGATGTGCTATAGGCCTATAGTCTGACTGGTCCAGCGCTGGGAATGGTGTGAATGATTTGAAATTATGCAGATTATTGTATTAGTCCCCATAGTATACATATATGTATGTATATCAAAAACGAACATCTTAACAGCGTGAGTGTTCTATTTACGATAAGCTTAAGAGAATTGGGGTCCCTTATGCCGGAATCAAGCGGGCGTAAAGATATCGCGCTTATTTGCTAAGGCTCCTCTTGGGAATACTACCAGTAGAAATAAAGCCAAATTGTTATCGCCTAGCTGAACTGCCTTTTAGCAACGATTACGTCCGTAGGAATGGGTGGGGCTGAATATGATTTCAAGCCGACTCATTTAGCTTTATTAAAGTATAGTCGGAAGCTTGCTCAATAGCAGTGGTCAGTGTGAGAGACACTGCGACTGGGTATACACTGATTTTTTTTTTTAAATTCTTCCGTCAACCAAGCATTTTATTTGATTCTTTATTTATTTCATATATTTTACTATTTAAATAAATTAAAAATCTTAATATTGCCTTTGAGTAACCTACAATACGAAGTGTAATGCATAACACTAAAAGGCATTCATAATGAATCGCGCAGGGCCTTCACGGCACGGCAATGCGCGATGTTCTTTATTTCGTCGCTTTCTCGATAAGGGCTGATTGAAAGAGCGGAAGAGTACGTGTGTAGACAGCTAGTACAATTATCCTATGAAATTCGACTGCTCAATAGAGACAATTATGGGCAAATGGTTTGATTAGAGGGTTAGCATAATTATCGTTGAGGTCCCCCTCTACCAGTCCTCCACTATTATATCGGTCGCGTTTATATGTATTACGATGCTCTCTTACAGCCCTGCTACGATTTTCCTTCATCCCGACCATTAAACTATCTCCTCGATCTTACACAGAAATCCATTGTAGTTAAAATGTAAGAGTATCTATGATATACAGCTGGTGGTTGCCGTTGTTGTTGTAACGGTTACCTAGTCCCCGCTTATATGATAAGTTATAGTTTGGTTGTCGTCAAGGTCATCTGACGGGCGGCTCAAGAAACGAGCTGTTTCCATGTGGTCGGACCATAGGCGAAAACACCCCAGCAGTAACTGCTTGGAGAAGAGCTCGTTATGTTCCTTTACCGGAAGCATAAGGGCCTCACTCTGCAGGTGTTCTATTGGAGACATCAAGGGGCATCCCGTGATAGTCCGAAGTGCAGTATTTTGACAAGTCTGAAGCATATTGGTGAAACATAGTTGAGGACCGGCCGGCCGGCTGCCTTGTATGTTGCCAACAACGTTTCTTTGTCTTTTCCCCAAGAGCTGCCGGCAAGGGATTTGAGGATTTTGTTGCGGCTCTGTACTTTGACAGTTACGCAGTCGTATGAGAAGTGAAGAAGCCCAGACTGTCTAATGTAACGCCTAACATTTTTGGGTTATTGATTTAATTAATATTTTAATGGGGAGAGGACACCACCCTGCGGAACCCCCTGTTTAATTCTTCTAAGTTTGGAGTTTTGACCTCGAAACAGTACGGATGAATGCCGACCGCTCAGGTCGTTCATAGTCCACCGCTTCAGCCCTGGAGGGAGCGTGGATTGTTCTAGGTTCGCAAGTATCGTTGTGTGATTGACTGTGTCAAAAGCTTTTGACAAGTCCAACGCTACGAGGATCGTCCTCTCGCAGGGTGGCTTCTGGTTTAGGCCATGAACTATCTGAGCGTGTATGACGCTAAGTGCTGTGGTGGTGCTGTGCTCTTTTCGGAAGCTGGTGGTTGTTGCTGCTGCAGTACCCCCCAGTGGAGGTCATACTCTTTTCGTATTTTTCTTATTCTATTGATTTGGATGTATGGTCAATTATGGCTAATTTACTCCACGGATGTAACTTATTTCAAAATAAATTCCCCTCTGACTAAGCGAACTACTGAATATAAATTTAGAAACAAGGTTTTTATCGATTAACATTTAATAAACAAATTGGATAAATTCAAAACATTTTAAGCGTAGAATATGTCTTTTATAATCCACCACCTGAACGATCAACGCTAATGTTTTGCTTAAGCTGAGCAGCCTCATGCTTTTGTTCTTCCAATTCAGCCATTCTAGCAAAACGTGAGTATGCAACATCTCCAGTTTTTATGGCCGACATCATCTACAAAGGTATTTTAGTAACATGACAGCAGTTATTATGTAAATATGTATGTGATTTTTACCTGTAAATATTCATCAAGTTCAACTTGTCCATTCATATTAGTATCAATCTCTCTAAGTATCTCATGAAGTTGTTCTCCCGAAACATCAGCATCTCCGAAGCTCTGCAAATTAAATAAAATCAAAAAACAATTTAAATGGAATTTTGTTTACAAAAATAGGCTAAACGAATGAAGTCTATTCTTGGAAAATTTAGACCATTAATTTAAAAAAAAATTAAGTTTTTGTTAGTAATATAATATACGGCACCGAAAAAACCAAAATTCACTGAAGGCACCGAAGGCCATCCTACCCGAGCCTCATGATTTGGAAAATTGGATTAAGAGTTGGCATGCTTGTACTGACTCAGGAGCCTATTATGAAGGCGATAATATAGATTTGTATTGACTACGTGAAAATGTAGTTTTCTTGTCAGTCTGGGTCAAAATTCAGATATTTTTCTTTTGTCAAAAGTAATGTTGTTTGCACTATAAACTATTTGAAAGACACAGACACTTTCATTTCGGCAGAAATTGATTGATATACATACTCCGCCCACAGCGAAAGATTCATATTCCCTACAATTGCATGGCTTTAGTTTGCAAATTTATAATTAGCTGTTTTAATTTGATTATCCAGTTGGCAAATGACTTGCTTGCTTCAAATCAAAATGGCGTTCAAGTTCGAAAAGTGAGAGTGTGGTAGAAAAAAATGTGAATGTAATGCCACTTGAAATCAATTTCTTGATCCGGCTAAGACACTATCGTTTTCTTATTGAACTTTGTAGTTAAACCTAAAACGTAAAACGTCCCAGAAAATCGCTATCGTAAATGTTTATACCCAGCCCCTCCCCAGTACTAAATGCTATAAGGGAAAAATAGATAGCCAAGTTTCATGTTTAAACTAATCACGGCTATTGTGAGTGTTATTTGGTAAAAAATTGTAATTGTTTTATTTTAATAAATTAAACTACGATACGTTGTTTTGCATTCTAGGGGACGATATACATTCGCAATTTTCCCTTCGGTTAAATCACAGGCTAATTACAAAATAGCGCTACGAGGGGTTTCTGTTAAAGTTTCTATGAGTTTATTAAGGCCCAATTGACAATTCTAACCGAAACTACATACGTGTCAATTCTTTCAACGTATTAGAGTTTCGGTAGCCGTGATTTGCTTAGCTTAGTTAGGACTACGTCTTTGATAAATAATTGTAGCAAATATTTTAAAATTTTGCATGTTAACTTAAATGAGATATACATACATATGCGATAAAAACTTAATCAAAGCTAAATTTAATATATGGGGTACATGAGGAAAACATCAACCAAAGAATGAGAAATTCTAATTTCTTCCTGGACTAATGAAAATCATTATATATAATATATATGTGGAAGCTGGGGTATACATCGAACATTTTTGACATTAAACTATCGTATATCCAATATTATACTTTCACTTAATTTTGTCAACATATCTTACATATTGAGCGATATATACGGTATAAAGCCAAGTTTCTTATATGAGGTATATGGAAGCTTTGGATAGCTCCTCACAGATTGAAGTATCGCCCTGATTTCATCCATTTTGTGTAAGAAGATACACTGTTATAAAAGAAGATTCTTTCTGAATTTCATAAAAATTTTTTACATATTGACTGATAGATGCGGTATAAAGTCAACCGGAAGTTCAAAAATATTTAAATTAGGTACCACATATTTGATGTATGCGTCCTTGAAAAGTTATAGTCCGATTTCGACAATTTTTAGGCGTAAGATGAAATACCTTGGGGGCACTATTTGTGCGAAGTAGCTGACTCTCATACTTGGTGTTTGGTTGGAATTGGTCAAGTAGTCCCTGAGATATAGAACTTCACTTAAAGGTGGGCCGTGCCCTTGCCCTGAGGCTCACTTTAATCTGAGTGGTGTGGTAAATAAACAAAACTGTCGGTTCAGGTGCGAACTAAATACCCAAATTATTCATGAACAGGCACCACATTCACCTAAATTGAAAGTTTGTTGTCGTTTTTGGAAGAAGTTGATCTTAACAACATCTGATTTCAACAAGACGGGGCTACGTGCCACATAGCACGTGCAATAACTGAATTATTGCGAGAAAAGTTTGGAGATTCGATCATTTTAAGAAATTATGACATTGAATGACCTCCAAGAAGTTGTGATTTAACACCATCCTACTTTTTGTGAGGTTATTTGAAGTCATTGGTTTTTAGCAATAAACCAGACTCTCTTTAAGCTTTAGAAGTCAATATTAAACGTGCTATTCATGAAATACGACTTGATTTAGTGGAAAAAGTACACGAAAATTGGGTTCATCGAATTTGAATGATGTTATATTCAGAATTTAATTGTATCGATTATAATTCACATTAAATAAAAAACGTTTAAATTTCCTTATTAACAAGTGTGGTCTTTTTTTTTGTAATCATATCACTCTGTTTGGAAAACCGGTATTAAAATCAACCTTATTTACGCAAATTCTAATTTTTAATATTAGTCTGTGGAAAATTATATACCAATATACATACATAATTTCTGTTACAGAATGACATAATGTCATCGAAATATTTTCGCCTAATTTTATTGAGATATGTTTTGAAAATGCGATATAAACCCATTACCAAAATTGGTGAAATTGGTTGAGTACTTAGTTGCTGAAATAGCATTTTATCTATAAGAAAGCGCCGCCAAGTACCAATTATCATGCACGCTTTCAAAAGCAAACTTTACCGTAAAATACTTTTGACGGCTTTCACTTGCGAGTTAACGCACTTTTAATAATTTTTAACGTAACTACGAAGGGTGATAATGGTTGGCAGTTTCATCCATTTTAACATTTTATGATGAGATAAGGAAAATGGTTCCAGCTGCTACCAAATTTAATTTTTTTAGTTTAACTAGTGGCTTAGTTATAGCACTCAATACTTTTTGGGGGCGTGGCAATGGTTTGTTTTTGTGCATTTGCAATACCAACCTACTCAAGGAATTCAGCTCGACTCGTAAACCTGATTATTTTGATATGTATAACTCTATATCTATCTCAACTATTTTGAGGTATTACAAACAAGTTCTGGTTGAACAAAATTTTATACTCTGTGCAACATATTTTGAGAATAAAAATATAGATCATAATCGGGATAAAATATATTACATTTTTAAAAGGTTTATTGTAAAAATTATGTTATTTAACACGATCTCTTTTTACCTTAAGAGCCCGACGAATATCATTGATTGAAACATAGCCTTTCTTATCCTTATCAATGAGTTGGAAGCGTTTAACATACGTTTGAATTTCGTCTTTGGACAGTTTTATTGGTATTCTTTCCTTTGATGTTCTATTTACCATTTGACCCATTTCATGAGCTAAAAACTCGTTAGCCAGCTTTATTTGTTTCTGAAATCGGAAAAAGGTAACCAGTTATTTAACGGATAGCTGTTATTTAAAACTATGTGAAATTACCTCCTTTTCGTCTTTCGACCAGTGAAGTTCTTCACCCATTAAATCAACAATGACAGGTAGTGCTTCTGAAGCCGCCTGTACGTTTAAAAACGCTAAACGTAGTCGTCGTGCAATCATATCTACTGCAGTGCAGGCATATTCGCGAACTCCATAACGTATTTCAGCGTCAATATATGGGAATTCTGGATGAATACGATTTCCAATGATTGGCCAACGTTTTCCAGTTAATGATGCCATTTTCGAAACAGCAAATGCTCTGTCACCATAAGACTTTGCTAAATGTTGGGCTACTTCGCATTCCAAACCAAAGTCTTGTACTAAACGAATATACATAGTTGGTGTCCAGCCCTGTCCGCCTTCGATTTTCAAGTACGATGTTACGGCATCTGGTCGTTCAGGCTTCAAATTGCAAGCTAAAATTATCATAAATTAGACATTATATTATCGACTTGCTATTTTTTATAACCTTTGATTGCCGCATCAATGGTATGTTCTGCCATAGCTCGGTATGTAGTCCATTTACCCCCTGCAATTGTAACTAAATTCGATGGACTCACATGAACAATATGATTTCTAGCCAACGATTGCGTATCTTCTTTGTTTGGGTCCGAGACAAGTGGCCTAATACCACTCCAAGCCGACAAAACGTCACCACGACGAACCTCAACATCCGTATTTAAATAATTTTTTATTTCATTCAGGATAAATTGAATTTCGTCTTCTGTTGGGCTTGGATTGTGCGTTATATCACAAGGCAAATCTGTAGTACCAGCGATGGTTTGTCTTTGCCATGGTAGGAAAAAAATGACACGCCCGTCCGAAGTGGAAGGATCTAAAAGTCCCATTTGATCGGGGCTGTAATATCCAGGAAGTACAATATGTACACCTGAACTTGGACAGCAAATTGTTTTTACATTCGGATCGTCCATTTTCCGTATGAAATCAGTGAATGGTCCAGTTGCGTTAATAATGCACTTAGCCTTAACTGTAAATTCTCTTCCAGATATATGGTCTTTGACCTTTGCACCACATAGCACTTTTTTACCATTTTCATCCTTCTTTAGAAGTTCTTTAACTTCAACATGATTGCAAACAGTTGCCCCATGTCGTGCGGCAGTTAAAGCTACAGCTAAGCACATTCTTGCATCATCTTGTTGACCTATAAGTACACATCAGAGCAAAAAGTATTTATCGAGCATTTAAAACACTATCCAACATTATGATGTATTAAAATTATAGTTTTTTTTTTCACTAAAACACAGTCATAATCATGGTTGTAAAATTAATAATATGGATTACAATCTCAAGTTCTTTAAAAACGAACATATACGTTGGTACCACAGGGCCCTACTTAGACGATGTGCAACCATATATTTAGTTTTTATTATTCTACATACTAAGAATATCCAATAGATAAGATAAAAACATGTAAGAACAAATACAGTCCACTAAGTCCACAGTCACAGCTGCATTTTCTTAAGATCCTTGAGCAAAAGCTGATGTAAACAAACGTATGTGTGTGAGTTTTCATCTCTCTTTAACGCATGGGTATTCGGAATTGATTCACTATATATTTATACTGCTCACTCTCATGTCTTTTTCTGACTTATTGCTGACCATAAATCCATGATAGCTGAAAATTGTCAGTTATTACTGAAACGATATCATAGCTGCAATTTTTCAGTTATAACTGTAAATCTATCACAAGTTAAAAATTCTTTTGCGCAGTACATAATATCATTTTTATTTCTGTAATAAATTCAAAACTTTTAATTAAAATTAGTTATAGTTAGTTTAGTATATTTGTTATTATAGTTATAATATATAATAATATACATAAAAAAAGAGTGTAAGAAAAATATAATTAAATAATAAATTATGAAAAGAAATTTTCACTTAATTCCATGCTTGCTCCTCTCAAAAGCTCTGCTTTTGTTTCTCCAGTTCATGGCTATTTCGGAATTTAAAAATGCCTAAATAAAAACGAAAATTAACTAAAAAAAATAAATTTTATTTTAAACTTAATAAAAACTTTCGTATATTATATTTGAAAAGTCCTTCATTATTTATTTATTTTTTTAACACAAAAATAGTTATTGACTAGATAAACTTCTATGAAAATGTATGCTGTCTCCTTTCGACGTATACAGAATTTGCTTTTGAAAAAATCATAAACATTGACAGTCATTTTACTGTTCATTTGACTATCAGTAATGACATAATAAATGTGAGTGTATTGATTGACATATGATAACTTCCCTACAAGAAACTGCTGATGGGTTTACTAATCCACTCACATTTTTTATGTCCGTCGTGACGGACAGTTTCCCTTTCAACTGACCGTCACTGCTATTGTTAAACAGAGACCTCTTCGATTTATATTGCTTACATGTGTAAGAATGAAATAGCTGAATCCTTTAGTACTGTCACCACTAACAGTCATAAATAGTAAAATGACTGACAATGTTGATGATTGTCCAAAAAAAAAATTTTATCAAAACTAATCATAATTTTTTAATTTTTATCTCTTTGCGCAAAAGCAACCTGGTCCAAATAAGTTTCTCAACAACTACGAAAAACCATTTTTACTGTTCTTCTTGCCACAATCGAAAAGTGTTGCATACTTCTGTGCAAAACTCTTTTGGATTTGGTGTTAAAAATATACATTTTGATGAAAGAGAGGAGCTTTCAAATTAAATAAACATACATACGTAATTAAATAAGTTTCAAATAAAACTATATATTTAGTTAATTTCAATTTGCATGTTTAAATTCAGAAATATCTACTGATTGGGAAAAGACGTACGAAGAGCTATTGAGAGGAAGAAATTGAATCAAGTGAAAATTTCTTTTCATATTTTATTATTTAATTCTATTTTTTGTTGCATTCCTTTTTATATATATGTATATTATTATAACTAATTTTGATAAAAATTATATTATCTACTGCGCAAAATAATTTTTAAATTGTGGTAGATTTACAGTCATAGCTGACAAATGGCAGCTATCATAGCTTTTCAGTCATAACTGACAATTTTCAGCTATGATGGATTTATGGTCATCAATAACTCAGAAAAAGGCATGAGAGTGAGCAGTATATATATATAGTGTATCAATTCCGAATACCCAAGTGTTAAAGAGAGATACAAACTCACACACATACGTTTGTTTACATCAGTTTTTGCACAAGGCTCTTAAGAAAATTATAGGAACTTTGTTCTGCGCGCTGACAAAATTTTTTCAGCTGTGACTGTCATATTAACGGTCAGATGACTGTCACTGTTCTTGTAAGGTTGTTGACCTAAGATATACATTTATGCAATGGATTACAAGTGCACATGTGCACTTGAAAACAATCCCATAACATGCGGCATAAACAATGTGCTATATACATACGGACACACACACATGTAATGAGTTCTATACTTAGAAATAACCCCATGTGGTGTGCATGCAATTTGTAAATACTATATAAGCCATGAATTTAGTAAAATAAAACTAGAATGAAATATTTCTCATACATGACGGTGCCTATCAATTTTAGTCCTCCACCAGAGGTAAGACAATATTGTACATCTGGTCATCATTTGGTTTTACAAACCAAATAAACACAAGTAATACATAATGCCACAAGTTAACGATGTTAAGTAATATTACCAATTTTACATTATTTGGAAGAAATTGATATTAATTATCCTGACTTTTCGGCGAGACACAGGGTCTTATCGTGAAAGTCCAAAGTAGATTAACAGCGTAAAGTGAGCGCCAATATACCATACGCCATACGATCTTCGTCTTAATATATTGTATGAACTTATAAGAAAAGCTTTACTGAAAGAATTATCATCAGCCCCCTTACGGGGGAAGCTTTTAATTTTGAATTTGTTCGTGAGCATTGATTTTAGTTAAATAGTGGGGTGAAATCAATGAGCGCTTGGATGCTACATACAGAGACCACTTCGATGACGACCATTAAAAATGTATTTAACGAACTTCTAAGTAATCGCACGCCAGTTTTAAATGAACCACGCCCAGGTGACTCAAAGCCGGCTACCACAGAGGAAAAGGGCAAAACATTCACAGTGCCGTTTACTTTGCAGAGCTCCAGAAAACATATTTTTCAAAGGGTCAAGTATGTTGGAACATTGTTGCGGTATTAGAACTAAAAAACAATGAATTGAAAAAAAACAGCTCATTTATGTAAAGTCTTTATAATTATATTTATAAATTAAGTCAGTGCGAAGAGTAAATATTTACATACATTCATGTAGGTAACCCTACAGCAGCACTGAACCCCTAAACTATTAACTTTTTTAAACTACATATTTACTTTCTAGAATTTTTGAGGGGTGTTATGGAATCCAAAATTTTGCGTAGTTGTCAAAATTGCAAACCAATTCTGATTTTCAATGGTGTCACAGAATCTGATTGTTTTTCAACTTTACGCAAAACCATTATTCGAATCAGCTGTTTACTGATGTAAAACAACTTGCAAATGAATAAATTTGGAAGCGTTTGAAAAATTTAAAATACTGAATAAACTATATCAGACATAATTCACACCTCAGAGTAATTCACTTGATGCACCAGGGAAATCGCTTGTGAAATTGAGCTTACATCTCCTTGTATGATTATATACATGCTAACTTTACAGATTCATACCACATTATCGACTGAATAAAGACGCATTTGGGTACTAAATTACGTTTTGTAAATTCTCTTAAATATCTGTATTTTTATCATAAACTCAATAATTATGACATTTTGTATTTTATTCTTACGTTTTCCCCTATGGAAAAAAAATATTTTAAATCGTAACAATAATATAAATTAATTTCAAATCTGTCGGCGACTATCCTCTTGATTCGTCTCTGGTAACAAAACCGATAAAATTCCGTGACATTTAAAACCGTTACAATTTCTGATTCCGGTAAGTATCAGATTCTACAACACCCCTGATTGTTTTTTAAATTAATGTAAACTTAACGTAGTAAAATATTTTTACAGCCACAATATCCGTCTTTTATTTTCTGAACAAAACTCTAACGTGTGGGATCAAACCCCATATAAATACATACACATGTATGTACTTATTTAAAATATCAAAATATGCCGAAATTAACTTAAAATAGGTTTACCATGACTTGTAATTTATTTTGAAATCAGTATAATTGTTTTCGAATGATTATCTTACATTTTCACATTCGTTAATTCGTAGTTATTGTATTTTCAAGCGATAAACCAGATTATTTTGTACATACCATCATAATATACAATAGCGCCACATAGTTTATCTTTCTTTAGCATAGGGAAAAGTTCTAGTGCATCTTTTTTTGAAAGGTAGTATGAACTTTTGACATTTCTATCACCAGCCACAAGATCATAACACTTGATGCCAACCCAAAAGTAAGGCACCTGCCACCATCTGCAATAAACTTATTTTTAATATATGTAAGTAAGGAAAAATTGTATAAATTATGAAATTAATATTAAAAAATCTGTTATTTCTTAAAATGAGTTACAATATACACTGCAGAAGACGTTTCCTATAAAATTAAAAAACATATATACATAATAAATAAATTGGGAACACTTCAAGCTGTAAAGTTGTACTTTTTTTGCTCTGAACTTTTGTGTGTAATTTTGCAAAATTTTTTAAACTTTAATTGATTTTTTAGTGATTTTGTTCAATATTTAGTGATTTTAACTTGGAGCTGCAAGATAAGTATTAAATGTTTTTCAGTTTTGTGCAGCATTAAAAAGTTTAAACTTACGAATTTTTGGTGCCGAGTCAGCTTTTTGTTTCATTTTGTTTTATTTCATTCAATTGTCTTTCTTTATTTATCTCATTTACGTCTTTATTCACAGCTCTGTTGCGTTTAGCTTTTTATTTGTTATTTGTTACAGTGCTTCTAAAACTGCTCGCTATATTGCTTTTTTAAACTGTCAAACTGGTTTTAAACTTTGATAAAAAAAAAATAAAAAAATTGCTATTATTTTTGCGTTTATTCTTAATTGAATTTTTTATTATTAATATTTTGTTAACACACTCATTTATTATATATCTATTAAATTTTGTTCTACTTACTCTCTTATTTGATCTTTATTCTTGTTATTTATTATATTATGACTTGTAACTTCCCCAATTGTAACATTAAAGGCGAGTCAGATCGCTACGTTTCATGCTGGCTTTGGGATGGGCTTGCCCATATTAAATGCGCTGGACTGACTAGTAGAATCTTAGATTCTATTCTCGACTATAAGGGATTGCGTTGGTCCTGTTTAAATTGTAGATCTATTGAAATCGATCTATTTAAAGTTTATAGGGAGACTCGCAATGGCTTTAACGAGATCGGTCGTGATCTTGTAACCCTCACTGAAAAATTTAAGCACTATGAAAAATTGTTCAAATCTTTTAAGTGCCTGAATGATTCTCACGAATTCTCTAAACCTGCTCCTAAGCGTAAACGTCCTTCCGATGAAGTAACACTTAGTTCTTCTGTACAGAAAAGAACGTCTCCTCCCAATGACCTAATAAATCTCTCTTCTCCTTGCCCTCAAGGTGATAAGCCGTCAACTTCCAAAGAGCTCAATTCCCCTAAAGCTCTATCTAATAGTAATAAGTGTCTCACAATTCCAGAGGCTCCTCCTAATAACATAGTAGCATCAGTTAATAATTTGATAGTTATTCCACCTAAAAAGTCTATATTTATTTCGAGAGTTGCCAAAGATTCCTTGGTGGAGGACATTAAATCTTACATTTCGTCACGTTTAAAAATCGATGATATGAATATCCGTAAATTTAACTTCAATTATGATAAGAAGTATATCATCGTTTAAAATAGACGTATCTCTTGAAACATTCAAAAGATCTTAGATAGTTCATTCTGGCCACCTTGGGCTTGTACGCGAATTTAAACCTAAACTTAGAAGTCAAACTGAGGAAAACATTGTTAAATTACCAAAAGCAACCACCGATAAAAAACTGATTGGTAGAAATCGCCAAGCATTTATTATCAAAATGTTAGAGGTCCTAATGCAAAATTAACCGACTTGTATTTGAACAGTTCCAATTTTAATTTCTATATAATGATACACAGAAACTTGGTTAAAACCTCACATTTTGATAATGAATTTAAACAGCGAATTTCAAATTTTAGATGTGATCGACTGAACGAATCGTGGAGGTGTTCTATTTGCCGTGCATTCCTCTATCCCATCTGAAAATATTCTTGTTCCAGGGACGACTCATTTGAATTTAAATGTATTGAGTATACGTTAATAGTTGCTTTTTATTTAACCCATCT